AAAAAATCCTATCCACAAAATTTTGTTGAAAAATCATAAACGACGTAAATATATCGCGACCAAAGTGCTTTCTTGTCGTATCTCAATTTCTTTAACAGTGAAAATGTGACATCTTCTTGAGCTCACTCTTCGTTGCTCCAGAAGCAAAGAAGCAGATTGCGTGTGAGGGCAAACTTTTTTGAAAATCGGGTAAATGCTATAATTTGGAACAATCTCCCCGAGTCAGTGGTGTCAGCCCCAAACGTGGACGCATTTAAGAGACGTCTGGACGAATTCTGGAAAGATCTCCCGACTATCTACAACCCCACTTGCCAAAACTGATTTGTCTAGCCTTCACGTAATGCACAGTCATTCATTACCAGATAGTTGAACAGGCTCTAGTTAGAGCCTCAAATGACTAAATCGTCGACGTCAACATTATGAACTGTTTCCACTGTTATTAAAAATGAGGATACGACAAGAAAGCACGGAGGTCGGATCCTGATATGTCACTCCATACCTTCTGCGTCAAGTCGCTGGCCTCGTTGATGTAGCGGTCTCGTTCCTTTTCCAGCTGGTAAATAATCTTACGCTGTTTCTGAGCCTCTTCCTTGTAGTTCTGGATCTCCTGCTCCAGATTTTTCTTGGACTGTTCGTGAAGTTTGACCAGGTGGAGCTGTTTCTGGGTGGCCCCCGCCGCCTTCAGCAGATTCTGAAACATGCCAAGACCACACAGCAATTTAGTTTTAGTTTTAGTGAAAGTTTTGCGGCACTTGCAACACAATATGGTCATACAAGTGCCGAAGACATTAGAGATTAGAGGTGCTACAAGAGAGTAACAAATATAATAAAGGAGGAGGAGAGAGATTTGTTTTAGTAAGTGTTTTAAGGCACTTGCAACACAATAAGTTCATTTAGGTGCCGAAGATTAGGCCTATAGGTGTTACAAGAGAGTAACAAATACAAAAAAGGAGGAGAGAGAAGGACAATAGTTTTTGATAGGAAAGAAGAAGCAAACCACACCAGGGCACCCGCCAACCACCCACACACAGCAATTTAGCAACTTGTATCCTTTGCAGTTTTAAGTAGATTCTAAAAGAAATAAAAATTTCATCATCATCATCATCACCGAGGAAAAAATTCCCCCTTTTTTTTGTTTTGTTTTTCTGGAAACATACCAATTTGCACAACGTCAACACGTTTTTACGTAACCTACAAATATCGTCACCAAAATCAGGACATGAGAAAAAAAAAAGAGCAAAAATTATATCGTAATCAGCCTTAATTACCAAATAATTCCTTCTTTTTATTCAGTCTCACTTCTTTGCACAATAACGAAAGAAAACCCTGAGAGCTAAAGGATCCAATGTTATACCCGCACTCATACACAGAAATAAAATAACATTATTGAATACTAACTGAAAGACCACAGTCACCACCACCATCATCATCATCATCATCATCATCATCACCGACTTAACAATTCCCCATTTTCTTGTTTCGTTTTTCTAGAAAACATAACAATTTGCACCATGCCAATACGTTCTTACGTAACCAACAATAGCCACCTCCTAAGAATCACATGGGTGTTCTGCCCTGGTCACGCCGGGGTACACGGAAATGAGCGTGCTGATGAACTTGCCGGCAAAGCAGCACCCAATGGCCGAATCATGCTCGACCCACCAATGGTGATCGCCAGATGCAAGGAGAGCCTTCACAACCAAGAGGAGTCAGACTCCAACACACTCAGCACAATAAAAGAAAAGTGTGTGCGGGGCACAGCGAAAAAAAGTTTGCTCCGAGGAGTGGTCAAGCGTGTCTCAAACCAGCTCCTCGTGGAGACAATTAGCAGGAAGACCCTGAGGTGGACGCTGGAAAGGAGAGATGAGCAGCTATGGACATGTGTCGCCTGCTATGATTCTAGCTCTGGATCCAAGTAAATCCAAGTAACCAACAATTATGGGCACCAAAATCAGGACACGGGACCAAATCAAAAAACTAAAAATCTGAGAGACCACATGGGGGCTCCAGTGGCTAAGTGAGTAGTGAGTTTTGACTCAAGCAATGTCAAGCAAGTGTCGGTGAAACGGGGATCAGATGGGTGGTCACTGGAGTGTGTCCTTGAGCAAGACACTACAACCCTAGCTCAAATTACAGGGCGCTGCACAGTGGCGACCGACAGTGGCATTGTTTGTAAACTGTTCTGTATTTGTGTAATAGTGTGCATTTATGTATGTATTTATGCATGTATGTATTTATGTATGTACGTATTTATAATTATGTATTTATGTATGTATGTTTGCCATTGTAAAACAAAGTGCCCTTCTGGGACAAATAAAAGTGTAATTTATTATTATTATTATCATTATTATTATTATTATTATTATAAGGCAACATTTAATCCGTGTTTTCGCATTAATTACAACAGGTTACCATAAGGCTCCAACAGAAGTGATTTTCAAAATAACCCTTGATTAAATTTCCTGAAATCTGTAGGCCTACTCCCACAACAGACGAGTAAAAAAAAAAAATCCATCTCCTTGATAAGAAAATATCTCACCTTGTTCAAGATATCTCTCTCTCTCACCAGATCATCAATGGCTTTTTTGTCAGTCTCTGCCTGTTTCTTTGCAGCCTCCAATTCTATGGAATTACAGACAGAGAGATATAATCTCCTTCATAAAGAAAGCCATTCCAGTCAATTTCTATAGCTCTCCGAACTTTCATCAATTCCTTACTATGTTCAAGATCCGAAATTCACTGCACTGAACTGAACTAGCACACTAAAGACCAAAGAAATTGTTGACATAAATGAACACATTAAGAAATTGAAATCGGGGCTTCCTTTTCTCTTTTAAAAAAAATAGTTTTACGGCACTTGCAACACAATAAGGTCATATAAGTGCCAAAGATCAGAGGTGTTACAAGAGAGTAACACACACAAAAAAGAAGGAGGAGAGATCAGGACAATAGATGTTTGATAGGAAATAAAGGAGCAAACCACAATAGAGCACCCGACAACCACCCCCTTTTCTCTAAAAACGCGAAATAGATAGCATTTTTTGCATAGTGCACATCCCCGCTCAACAGCAAGCTCTCTGCGCTTCCAAAGAGGGACACAACTAGCACACAACTGTGGAACAAGCAAGATAACTCAGCCCAGATATACAAAACGGTCCCACAGGTACATCCCCGTACCTCTCTCCAGGCCCGTGATCTGGCCCTTCAGCGTCTCCCGCTGCTGCTCTATGTCAGCTTTGTTCTCCTCCACGTTGCGCAGACGTCTCTGGATGGCTTCTCTTGTCTTGTTCTGGCGCTGAGTCTCCGTCTTCAGATTATTCAGATCGTCTTCTTTTTGCTGAGGACAGAAGAGAATATATAACACATTACAACAAACACCAACTTATTCAGATCGTCTTCTTTTTGCTGAGGACAAGAGAATATATAACACATTACAACAAACACAAAGTTATTCAGATCGTCCTCTTTTAGTTGTAGATAGAAGAGAAGAAATAACTCATTCCGTCCTCTTTTTAACATTCCGTCCTCTTTTAGCTGTAGATAGAAGAGAAGAAATAACATGTGTGAAGCATGCTGACCAAATGAGTTACTTCTCGGATCTAAGCCCTTTGGCAATAGACACATCAAACTTATAGGTGAAGCTTTCATAATTTATAAGTATGAAATAATAAAACACATTAATACTTAAAGAATATCAATAGAAAATCTACAAATTTGACCCTAGTGTATCGATTTTTGGCCAATATCTCCACTTGTGGATTGCGAGAAGTAACTCATTTTGTCAGCTCACCTTACAAATTACAATAAACACCAAATTATTCAGATCGTCTTCTTTTTGCTGTAGGTAGAAGAGAATAATTAACACATTACAACAAAGACCAGAAGCTTTTGTTTTAGTAAGAGTTTTACGGCACTTGCAACACAAGAAGGTCATATAAGTGCCGAAGATTAGAGGTGTTACAAGAGAGTAACAAACACAAAATAGAAGGAGGGGAGATATGGACGATAGGTGTTAGATAGGAAAGAAGGAGCAAACCACACCAGTGCACCCGCCAACCACCCAGAAGCTTTCGCTCACAGAGTCCATACACACAGAATACAGATGAAGAATAAACACTAAACTGTACATACAAAATACACAGAAAACTATGCATACAGAAAACACGAATAAGTGACAAAAGTATGAGAGTAGAAGGCAGAACACAACAAATTATGTTCCCAATTATATCTCTATACCATACTAAGGTGCGGTGGCGGAGTGGTTAGTGCACTCGTCTCCGAAGCGGAAAGTCCGGGTTCGAGCCTCCGTTCAGACACAAATTTCTTTCGCCCCCTCCTGCCCTCTCAGCAGTAATGGGTACCTGACTTCGTGTTGGGGAAGTAAAGGTGGCGTGCATGGAAAGGAACTGGCCACCCTACCACAATATGCCGAAGGCCCAGGAAGTTGTCTCACTAACAAGGCAATCCCCAATATCCAGATCGGATGCGGGAACAACTTTACTTCATTATACTATACTCAAGTGGTCTCCTTGCACTAAATACTTTTCTTATCCCAACCTCTTAAGAAAGTCTACAAAGAAGATGGTCCTGAAATGTTTTATGTTTTAGTAGAGTTTTTACTGCGCTTGCAACTGCATAAGGTCACAAGAATGCCAAGGGGTGGATGTCAACAGAGAAGTCCTTACAGGGAATCAGACTTATTCTGCTGACCTCTCTAGCTTCAACAGCAAAAATCTGCTTCGACTATCAAGGCACCCCGGAAATAGCGGGTCACAAGAGAGTGACAAACATGCAAAAGAAGTAGAGGGAAAATGACAAAAGTAAGGATTAAGAAAGAAAAAGCAGCAGTTCCCTGTATGCAGTTCAGGCACAGTTATTAGCATGACATTGATGAATCAACCCATTTACAATTACAATTCTACTGGGCATAAGAACATGTTAAAGTCCCCCCTTTGGGAATGGCCTAAAGACACTTCAATCAGCAGCACCGCCCCGAGGGGGGGGGGGGGGTAGATGTACCTGAAAGTAGTGTGAAATAAAACCAAAAGGACAAAGAAGAAATGCAAAGATGGCTTATGTGAAGACTGAATTACACACAGAGGAACACAAGTGTGTATTTTATTATCTGCAATATACTACATCTATCTAAATATACTACATGTATCTAAATATACTACATGTATCTGCAATATACTACATCTATCTAAATATACTACATCTATCTGCAATATACTACATCTATCTAAATATACTACATCTATCTGCAATATACTACATCTATCTAAATATACTACATCTATCTGCAATATACTACATCTATCTAAATATACTACATGTATCTAAATATACTACATGTATCTGCAATATACTACATCTATCTAAATATACTACATCTATCTGCAATATACTACATCTATCTAAATATACTACATCTATCTGCAATATACTACATCTATCTGCAATATACTACATCTATCTAAATTTACTACATCTTTCTGCTTTCAGGCCTCAAAAAGAGTTGACTCTATTGTCCTTGTTACCACAAACAGCCTGTGCCATGCAAAATTCTGACCCAACATGGTTTTTTCTCTAAATTTAGAAACAGGTGAAGAGTTCATACCTTCAGTTCCGCCACTTTAGCTTGATTTTCTTGAGCCAAAACGTCGGCAGACATGAGCTGATTTTCATATTCAGCCGACAACTTGTTGAGGCGAGAGTTGAGGATCTCAGCGTCTTTCATAGTTCTCTCGCTCAGCACCTGCGACAAAGACAACCAGGAATCAATTATATGAATTGCACATACCTGTTATACAACAATAACGAACAGTTCATTATAGTCAATTGGTCGCTTTTAAGGACAAGCGGGCTAGCCCAGATTTTGGTGGTTTCCAGAAATCTTGACCTACACCAAAAGTGTTTCAAGAAATCTTGACCTACACCAAAAGTATTTCCAGAAATCTTGACCTACACCAAAAGCGTTTCCAGAAATCTTGACCTGCACCAAAAATGGGCATTACCCTCCCTATAGGAGAAGTTTGGTTTCATTGGTGTGTATATTTGTTTACTCTTTCTGTATCTTTCTGCCACACCCCTGATCTTCTGGTAGGAAAGATCTACACCTAGCCTTCTCGGACAAGGGCAAAAAAATCTCGGAGGGCCCGTGTGCAAGTTGCGCATGTTAAAGATCCCTTGGTGGTCTAAAATCGATAAGATTAGGCTTCGGCCGCCACCCGGGCAAAATCCAAAATTTCCTACCAACTGAAAATATTAGGTGTGTCCCGCGCGCTCATATGACCATATGCAGTTGCGAGCGCCGTAAAACACTTTACAAAAAAACAAAAAAAACACATTTTGTTTGGTTATGGAGAAAAATCTTGTCACTTAAAGAAACTGAACAAGGGGCAGAAACTTTACCGTCGATTTTCTCAAAACAGCATTTTTCGGGATAGCCTCCTTGTGCTTAAAAGTGACCAATATCATGACCACCAAATGGTAAACAGTAGGTTGTTGTTAGCGATCCAGTAGCATCTGAGCGTTAACTCTTCTGCATGTAAACAGTAGGTAAAAACAAACATTTCAGCTATAAGTCTCAACCTAGTGTTACATGAAAAATTCACAGGTTGTGTCCTGTCTCCTTGTCAGAATTGCTTTACTTGCAAATCTCTCACTCCCACAACCAGTCTTTGTGAACCAACAGAAAACAATTATAGCTAAGAATTATATTTGAAAAAACACACACTCATGTGAGTATGTGTACGTAGTGAAACATCAAACCAATGTGCCAGGATCTGGACAATAAACATTCATTTTATCTTATTAATAATAAGCGATTCTAACAGGCTTAATTTAAGAAAGATACAGAAAGTCATTTTTACCATCATCTATCAAAATTCTTCCATCTTATACCATCTTGTTCCAAGTATTCATATGACCTTAGAGCATGCATCAGAAAAACATTTAGTTACAGTCAGAAAACTGAGTATGTATCTGGTTTCAGATCATTATTGTTTATATTACTGTTTATTTATATTATGCGTGTGACTGTAAGCCTGCGTGTGTGTGAGCATGTTTGTGTGTGTGTGTGTATGTGCGTGTGTGTGTGTGTAGGAGTGAGTGTGTTTGTGTATGTGTGTGTGTATGTGCATGTGTGTGTGTGTAGGAGTGAGTGTGTTTGTGTATGTGTGTGTGTATGTGCGTGTGTGTGTGTATGTGCGTACGTGGTGAAATACCAAACCAATGTGCCAGGAATCTGGACAAGAAAGATGTACCTTATCTTATCTTAGAGTTCCTAACTTGCACCTACTACTAACCACTTAACTTCGGCTCTGCCAGCATCCACCCACTCACCCTCTGCTCCCTGAGCTGCTGATCCAGCTTATCCTTCTCCACCTTGTGGCGCTCAATCTGGGCCACCATGTTCTTGATCTCCGAGTTCTTCGAGTCCAGCTCTGCCTTGGACTGCGTCAGGTCGCGGTCCAGCTTGTCTCTCTTCCTGGCTTCTCGTTGGGCCTCATTGTTCCTCACCTGGATGTCTTGGTTGAGCTGGACGAAAAGAGTTTTAGTTTTAGTTTTAGTAAAAGAGTTTTTCGGCATTTGCAACACAAGCGTACATTTCCATAAGTTCTGAAAGGTAATTTGGCGAGCACCGATGTAAAGATCTATAAACCATGCACAAAATGTTTAATTCAATGCACTCTGTCACTGGAACCAATGGAGGGTGAGTCACTCAGGACAAATGAACTCCACAGAATTATCAGTGTGTGGTGGGGAGTCAGTCAGCAACAGGTTAGGGTATCGGCTTTCTGTGGTAGTACAGGAGATTGTTTGGGTACAATGTTTTGATAGACGAAAACATTTAGAGGTGCTTGAAGGAAAGATGTGGGGCAGGAAAGCCAGAGGAAGTCAAAGAATAGCATGGATGGACAACATAAGAACATGGACTGTCCAAGATATGGCAGAATGCGCAACGGCAGCTCGCGACCGTGAAAGATGGAGAGTCATTACACGTCAACCTCTGAGTTGACACCTCAAAATAATCATAACAATAGTGATAGTTTTTATTGCAGTGTCCATTTTTAGAGAACGTATTTCCAACCTCACTGCGAGACTGCTTTTTTCATAGAAATTTGTACACATATACATAGATATTACATGCATAACACTTTGTTTTACGTACACGCATGTCGATTAATTTTTAAGATGTGATGTCTTTTTCTATATAATGCGTATTGGGCATTTTTTTAGAAAATGGAAAAGCGCAGTATAAATGCTATTTATTATTATTATTATTATTCATAGTACCTCCATGATTTTCTCCTCAGCATCAGCCTTGTCTTCCTCCAGTTTCTGCTGAGTGGCCACAGCTTCACCCAGCTGTTCTCTCAGTTTGGAGATCTCTTGCAGCTGCTCATCTCTCTCCTTTGTTAGGTCTTCTTTGATCTTCAGAAGCTCGTTGACACTGTCGGTGATAAAGTGTTGGATTAGCCCACCAGATCACTTGACCAGCATTATTTTGCAAGATAGAAGAGCAGACCCGAAATGTTGACCTCATCATCCTACAAAGACGGTCAAAACTTTGTCCACAACGATGTAAAGGAATTTTTTTTCCTTCACTATTGCTTTAAATTTCTGTTTAACCCTATTCGTTCGCCCTGGAGTCATTTTGTACCCCCAGGGCTGTATTCTTCACGTTTTAGAATACTTTTAGTACGAAGATCTTTTTGAAACTTTCAGTATTTCTCAAAAAAATCATTTTGACCGACTGCTATGCAAAGCGTACGGATCAGATTAATTGAGTAAATTTCCTCTTTGGAAGTGGTTGCACAGAGTTCTCCACGTTGTATGGATACGATAGTAAAACACGACGTATGGATAGGGTTAAGTGGTGGCCCAGAGTTCCCCACGTTGTATGGATACCATAGGAAAACACGACGTACGGATAGGGTTAATACAGCAGAGTAATCCCACCATCAAACTTTGCTACAATTTATTCCTTCCAGCGTGTTTTCCAGGAGGCTCCCAGGCTCATGGTTACTACATTCTCAATGTTCTCTTGTGACCATGATCATAATAGTATTTTTGCTTTTATTATTTTAACAATATTTTACTAAAATTAATTTTATTGTTAGTACTACTATAATATTAGTATTATTCTTGATATTGTTATTACCACTATGTTTGATAAGATTCTTCTTCTTCTTTTTCTTCTTATTATTATTCCATTTACGGCTCAAAAGACGATAAAAGGCATATAAAACCCATCTTTTTTTAAAGCTGATAGAATGAGCAATTCAAAAATGATAAGCGATCAAATAAATACAAACAAAGTGCAAAACGCGATAAACTCAACAATTAGTACATTAGCACAGTGGAACAAGTGATAACACATAGCGTGTAGTCGCTCAGCGGGACCAAGTCACTTTATCTATCGATATCTTGGCCAAGAGACGCCCTACGAGGTCAGAATAACTTGCACAGTCATTGGTCACTATTTATAACTTTGACCTGTATTTTACTACGTCATTTTCCATATAAGGAATACTGAAATTTTACATTGAAAAAGGTCCGCATCTATGCCCTCTATATACTGAACGCTTCCCGGTCGAAGTAGGTCAGCCCTATATATAGGGCCTGCGCGCTTCCCGGGTAGCCCGGCTCACGCCCTTTATAAAGGGTCTGCGCGCTTCCAGGGTTAAACTGCAACACTGCACGTTGAAAGGCTGGTGAGCTGCTGTACCTGTGCTCTTGACCCATGGTCAGTCCGGCGCCTTGCTCCACGAGTTTGCTCAGCTGCTCAATCTCAGTCTTCAGCCTGTGGGAAGTTTCTTTCGACTTCGCTTCTTTCTCGTGGGCAGCATCAACCATTTTCCATGCTTTCTCCACTTCCTGTATAGAAGACAACGTTTTTAAAAATTAAAAAGAAAAAAGAGCACTATATATATATATATGTGAGGCGTGTTGACAAAATAAGTTTTACTCCTGGCAATCCCCAAATGGAGATATTGGCCAAAAATCGTCACTTACGTCAAATTTGTAGATTTCTTATTGATGCCATATTCTTTAAGTATAACATGTCTTTTATCATTTCATACTTATAAATTGTACAAACGTCACCTATAAGTGTGATGTATCTATTTCCTATATATTGTAAAAACTTCACCTATAAGTGTGATGTATCTATTTCCTATATATTGTAAAAACTTCACCTATAAGTGTGATGTATCTATTTCCTATATATTGTAAAAACTTCACCTATAAGTGTGATGTATCTATTTCCTATAAATTGTACAAACGTCACCTATAAGTGTGATGTATCTATTTCCTATATATTGTAAAAACTTCACCTATAAGTGTGATGTATCTATTTCCTATAAATTGTAAAAACTTCACCTATAAGTGTGATGTATCTATTTCCTATAAATTGTAAAAACTTCACCTATAAGTGTGATGTATCTATTTCCTATATATTGTAAAAACTTCACCTATAAGTGTGATGTATCTATTTCCTTGAGGCCTGAATCCGAGAAGTAACTCATTTTGTCAGCACACCTCAAACATATCATTGTATGAAACCATTGCAGAAGGCATCTTTGTCTGAATTTCATGAACTTCTGCACAGTTTCCGATAAAAGTTTTCACAAACATGCACACAATCAATTTTCACAAAATTCTAAATTTTACTGGTATAATGATGACATAGAGATGTCTTTGACAGGAATCATTTTTCTTTCTTTTTAAGAAAGGTTTTTACAGTGCTCACAACTGCATTTAAAGGTCATATGAGAACCAAGGGGTGGATGTCAACAGAGAAATCCAAAACGGAATCAAGTTTTCTCTGCTCGCCTCTCTAGCCTCAACAGCACAAAGTCTGCTTCCACTATCAAGGCACCCCGGAAATAGGAGTTCACTAGAGTGTGACAAACATATACGAAAGAAGTAGAAGTGACCACAGTAAGAATGAGGAAAGAAAAAGCAGCAGTTCTCCCATGTTGTTCTGGCACAGTATGAGCATGACATCGATAAGTCAGCCCATTTACAATTCTACTGTGCATAAGAACATGTTAATATAATATCCCCCCTTTGGGAATGGCCTACAGACACTTCAGTCTGTGGCACTACCCGGGGGTGGGGGGGGGGGTCATTTTTCAAAAGCAAAATGGTCAGCTTGAAAACATTTACAGGCACAAAATGTGATAAATTGTGAGCACTTTCATGTGATTCTGATTGAGGGTTGTTTCATACTTCAGCCCAGAAGTGAGTGATGGACTACAACAAGCAAACAAATGAGATTTTTCTTTTAAAATTATTGAATTTTCAATTCTTAGATTCCCCTGTTGAAGGAAAACATCATTCAAGAATTTGTGCTTTTTCCCAAATAAACTTGACGAAGAATAAAAGAACTTCAGCACTAGTAAAGTAGTCTCCAGCTCCCTGTCTCAGAAGATCTTCCACTACACACTTAGAGAAATATTTCAGGCGCTGCTCAGCAGCGACAAGGCCCTTACAGATGTGTATTGCTCTTTCGAGTAGGTATCTAATATAACTCCAAACTGTCCCCGAGGTTTTATGCACCCCGCATAATTTAGCAAAATTTGATCATTTTTTTCATAATTTCTGATTATTTTCCTTCTTCATTCTTTATTAAAATTAACAGAATCGCATAAGGTCACATTTTTGGGGCTCAGTTCGCATAATTTCAGAATTTTTCTTGCATAAAACGATGCGAACAGTCTAAAGGCCTTGTAATTAAATTCCTGGTTGTGGTTGAATGATGCACCTGATGTGATATGTACATTTTGTCAGCTTTACTTCTCTTTTCATATTGAACATTAATGAGATTAATATATAATTTAAATTATTATGTATACCTGCATGAGTTTTTACGGTCCTGTACAGCCAAGAAAAATTTCCCTCTGGGATAATAAAGTATTATCTTATCTTATCTTATCTTATCTTATCTTATCTTATCTTATTATACACGACAAATATTTTTGTGAAATAAGATGTAAATATTTTACTCACTTTTTTCAAAGACGCAATTGTGGCTTGATCCTCTTGAGAAAGTTTCAAAGCCGTGGCCACTTTGGCTGAATTGGCCACAATCTCTGCATTCAACTCCCTGCATTTTTGCATGAGCCTTCTTTCACTCTCGTGAGACTTCTTGAGTGCCTTGTGCAGCTTTTCATACTCGAGTCGAAACTTCTCCAAACTTCTGTCCCCAGAGAGTTCAGCAAGGACCTGAAAACATTTCAAAAGCAAGTGATGATTCAACATAATATATATATATATTATATATATATATATATATATGTGTGTGAGGCATTGCGGGGAAATCAGGCCCTCGTCAAAATTATGAAATTAAAAAAATTGACACCTTTTACATTCATTTAGAAACATATTTGTGTGTGGATTATACTGAAAAACGTTGATTACAGGCACCAAAAATGTAAATTTTCAGTATCCAAGGCCTCTCGGGCTAGGAAATTACCAAACTTTGGCTG